GGGGGGGGGGGGGGGGGGGGGGGGAGAATGGGGAAGGAAAGAGCCAAGCAAGAACAAAAGAATTTTTTACAAGCCTTTATGTGGTCATACACATGAATTTACTGAAACAGATACATACAATTTAGTATTTTTTTCACAGTCACAGCTTCTTTAGCTGTCAAATCTCAGGGTGTTGTGAGTACTGAATACATGAAGGCAAGTCGGGCCAGCAGGGCAGTGCTGAGCACCTGGAAATACAACTTCTTTCTCACCCACTCCTCGAAAAGTCCCAGTAACCGACCTAATCCATTCAGCCCACTCTGAGTCTCTCTCACCTAGTCCATCCTTCCCAATCATCAAGTGACTTCCGAAGTTACTCAGATAGTGGCAAGATACATCTGCATACTCATTAAACCAGCATTGAAAAGGCATCTTGAGAAGCCATCCTGGTCCATGTGTGATGACAAAGCCTGAACACAGTAGTGGGCAGAAGCTACCTAGAGTTCTCTTGGTCATCAGGTGCCTTCAGATGAGGACACTGCAAGCACCTCGTTTGACAAGTTGCTGTGGATTGAATGTTTGTGTCCCCCCAAAATCCACATGTTGAAGCCCTCATTACCAGAGGGATGGTATTAGGAAGTGGGGCCTTTGGGAAGTAAGTCATGAGGTTAGAGCATCAGAAATGGATTAGTGCACTTAAAACAGGAGACAGAGAGGAGAGAGAGAAGTGAGAATGGAGAGAGAGAGATCTGTCTCTGCCAGATGAGGATACACTGAGAACGTCTGTATACAAGCCAGGCAGCAGGCCCTCACCTGCAGGCCGCTGAAGCTACCAGCACCTTGATCCTGGACTTCTCAGCCTTCATAAAAGTAAAAAAAATGTGTGTTGCTTAAGCCACCCAGTCTGTGGTATGTGTTATACCAGCTCAAGCTGACTAAGATACAATGTATCAGGCTCATTTCTAAGAAGACAGGAGAAAGGTTCCTCCTGTGGTTGTGGGAACTGGACAGTCGGCTTAGACGAGAGCACTGGTACCCTCACATCATGGGGACAAGGGTGCCTCATCATGACCTGTCCCCTTTACCATGGCCTCCTTCACATCCCTCCAGCCCTTGGGACCCCACCTATTTGTGGGAGAAATCACACAGCATTAAGTTCCCCTTCCCAGCTGGGTGCAATGGCTCACACTTGTAATCTCGACACATCGGGAGGCCAAGGCAGCAGGCCTTGAGCACAGGAGTTTGAGATCAGCCTGGGAGGGAGGGAGGGAGGAAGGAAACTATACTAGGCCTAGATTCTACTTTAAAAATAAACCCTTTCTTTCTAGCAGGAAGTACCCAATAGGGATTTCTTCTAGATCAGTGATTCTCAACCTGGGGAGACTTTGTCCTCCAGGGGACATGGGGCAATGTCAATCTAGAGACATCTTTGGTTGTCACAACTGGAGAGGATGCTACTGTCATCTAAACAGAAGAGACCAGGGTCCTGCTCGTTATCTCTGAATGCATAGGAGAGCCCAAAACAGGATTATCCAGCCCAAAATGCCAGCAGTGCTGAGAATGAGAAAAATCTGTTCTAGATCGTGTACTTTCCACAGGGACAATATCACCTCAAAAATATTGGTTCTTGGCAGTCAAAAAAATCTGGGGGGTTTTGTGTTTTTTTGAGTTGGAGTCTCACTCTGTAGCCCAGGCTGGAGTGCAGTGGCATGCTCGTGGCCACGGCAGCCTTGACCTACTGGGCTTGGGTGATCCTTCCACCTCAGCCTTCCAAGTAGCTGAAACTACAGGCATGCACCACCACATCCAGCTAATTTTTTATTTATTGTAGAGACAACGTCTCATTATGTTGTCTAGGCTGGTCTTAAAACCACGGGTTCAGGCAATCCTCTTGCCTCTGCCTCCCAAAGTGCTGAGAGCCACCACACCCAGCCAAAAATCTTATGTTTTCTTATGTACAAAGTAGAGACATGCATTCAGTACATAAGTAGATATACAATAGATCATTAGTACTAAACTCTCTTTGGTGCAGTATATCTTTGGGGTAGTACAGGATGGAGAGGGGCTTAGGAAAAATGTCTAAAGGGCTTCTTAGGAGGCAATAACAAAAAACACTGTTCTAGATAAAAAACGACATTGGTAAAGGGGAGAAAGGGGCAATAGCATGTTTGGAGTTGCCAAGTAGTTGCGTCACCTCCATACCATGTTTATTCAGGTCCCAGATGCGAAGAGTCTTGTCCCGTGATGCAGAGACCAAAATCAAACTGCCACTGGGTGTGAAGCTCAGATCTCTCACGACATCTTGGTGGCCGGAGAGATTCAAAAGCAGGAGCCCTGGAGTGGAAGCAGGAGCACTTGGTCAGTGGTAGAGGTGGCACACAGTGTGCCTGCCGTGGCCACGCCCCTCAGCCAAGTGGCTGGGGAGCCCTGGGCAGCATGCGCACATGAGCCTCCCAGGATCCTGTTTGAGCCGAGAAAGACCTACCTGTCTGCACCTCCCAAATCTTGATCTGCCCATCGTTGAGTCCAGTAGCAAGGATCAGGCAAGAGACATCTGGCACTTGGGGATGGTGGCGTGCCCAGAGCTTCCTGCTGGGTGGGGAAGGCCACGGGCTGAAGGCCAACCCCCAGACAATCTGACCACAATCCAGCGTCTTCTCCTTTGGGCTGCCCCGCCCTTTGGTTTCATTTTTGCTACTTCGACTTTTGGCTTCAAACCCTTTAGGGATGCTGGGGAAGCAGAGATTTCCTAATGAGTCTGCAGTTTTTACCAAGTCAACCAACTTTTCATCATGGGACATCTGAGACGTTAAAGCCCTAGAAACAAACTGGCCTTTAGTGCAGTCTGTGACTTTTCTGTTTCTTTTTTAGTGTTCGGGTAACAGATGCTTCACTGGCCGTGCCTCATCCCATGTGTGACAGCCCTGTAACGCAGTGACCTGCCTTGTGGGATAACTAGACCACAGATGCTCCAGGGAGCCATACGCTTGCTCAGAATGTTCTCTCGGGTTGGAGTATGGAAGAGAAGATGCACTCGGTTTTTTTCCACGAGAAAGAAGGCACACTGTAGGTTTGGAACTAGGATAGAACTTAGAGCCTGAAAACCCATCTGCCACTCCTGCCTGAGGAGTTCCCTTATCTCTAGCTTGGAAATCCCCAAGCAGCTGGAAAATAAACCACTTTCTTGCCAATACGGTTTGTTTGGTACATGTTGATTACCACCTTCATTCACTATGTTCCGATTGGTTAATGAGGCTCTTTCACTTATTTTCCTGATAGGAACCAGCACAGGAATTAACCAGCCAGAGTAGTCAACAGAGAAAAAGAGGCCAGGTGCAGTGGCTCATGCCAATAATCCCAGCACTTCAGGAGGCTGAGGCGGGAGGATCACTGGAGCTCAGGAGTTCAAGACCAGCCTGGGCGACATAGTGAGGCCTCGTCTCTACAAAATAATCATAACAACAACAATAATAATAATACAGAGAAAAGGAACCCATCGGGCTGTTCAGTGGAGTCCTGTCCTGAAACGAACCCTGTTCCCAACCCTCTCCAAAATAGGCCCAGGTGAGGCTCAATCCCTAAGACATAGGTACTGCCTACAACTGTGGCCAGAAACAATGTATCAAAGGTGCCAGCAGCTGGCCAGCCTTGGGGTTTAGCCTGAAAACAGGAAGTTTACTGTTTATGGTATACTTTATCAGCGCGAGTAAACGTCCCACTTTTCTATGTGACCCTGACCACACTCTGGTAGGTCAAACTGGGGGAAACAGACATGAGAGAGTTGGAAGCCAGGATGAATTTAGATTTAGTTCTGAGAGAAGTCCCATACCCAACATAGACTGTACGTGGCTGGACCTCTTTATGTATTACATATATTCTGAAAAGCTTTAGGTAATCACATTTTTGCTAGTTGTGTGATGGAATATGTGAAAGGATTTTAACCAAGCTCACCTGTAAAATTAGAAGGAAGAAATTGAGGTATGTGTTCGGGATCCTTTGGTTCTAAAACTCTCTTAGTCTAAATCAGGCCGGCAGTCTTTTTTAGTTTTTTCTCTTTCAACAATCTATTCGTCAGTATTTTAAACTAAGGTATAGTTGACAAAGCGATATATTTACAGAGTATAATGTGATGCTTTGGTATATGTATATACTACAAAATGGTTAAACCAACCTAATTAACACATCACTTCACATACTTATCATTTTGTGGTGAGAACATTTAAGATTGACTCTCTTAGTAATTTTCAAGCATATGATACATTATTATGAACTCTAGTTCCATGCTGTACAGTAGACCTCCGGAATTTACTCATTCTGCCTACCAAAGCTCTGTACCTTTGACCAACACCTCCCCATATCCTCTCACACCCACAGCTCATCCGACCTCCTGCTTCTGACCTTTTCTGGCTTTTTTAGATTGCACGTGTGAAATCACGCAGTATTTGTCTTTCTATGCCCGGCTTGTTTCACTTAGCACAACAAGTCTACCAGGTTCATCCATGTTGGAGCAAAGTGATAGGATTTTGTTTTTGTAAATAAAGTTTTACTGGAACACCACCATATTCATTTATTTATGTGTCATCTGAGGTTGTTTTTGTGCTATAACAGCAGAGATAAATAGTCAAGACAGAGACCTTATGGCCTGCAAAGCCTGAAATATTTACTATCTGGACCTTTATAGAATAAGCTTGTCCTCTGGTCTAAATGGCCAAATGTAGTCTGAAAATATGTTATTCTGAACACAAGCTGAATGTAATTGTCAATGTCATTTTGATCGTCTGCCTATCCCCACACTGCCCAGACCTGCCTGACTCTGGCCCTGGCACCTAGACCCTGAGTTTGCCATCACAAGAGGAAGCATTTAAGAGGCACGCTATGGGAAGACGTTTGGGACAGCCAAACGTTAGATATATTTTATTTTTTATAAAAGTTTGATTAGAATTAAGGGATACATCTGTAGCTACTTTATTCCAAAAGAAATAAGGCACATTTACATGTTATTTCATTTTGATATCATAAATTTAGCTTTTCTAGGACAGGTTATTAATTTTCCTGGCTTAACAAAATTGGGGGCAGAATTGGAACCAGAACTGAAGCCATAGGTATCTTAGCCTAGTGCTCAACACATACTTGATTTCTGAGATGGATGAATCAAGTGATAAGTCACATGAAGGCAGGATGGCGGGAGTGTAGGAAGGGGCTGATGAGGTGAAAGAGATTCGCTGGCATAATTTAGCTTCACTAAAATTAAAGTTTCTAGAAATTTTATTTCTACAAGTAATATAATTATTTTGTTAATGTCAATTATTTGCTCAATATCAAAAACACTACACAATATAATTTATTAAAAATGTGTAACAACCCTAACACAAATATAAATGTTTCAGATTCTCCCTTTTAAAGGACCTTAAAAATAACCATTATTTTAAATTATAAAAATAACGGAGAAACACGGGGAGAATCTGGAAATCAGATAAATAATAAGTAAAAATTACCCATAATACTAATACAATTCTAAAAATTTCCCTACAAATGTTTAGTTGTGTATATATATATATATACATATGTTTTTAAAAAACACATTTGGAATCACATTGCATATATGGTTTTAAGTCTGCTTTTTTCAATAAGCTTTTATTCTGTGACCATTTTCCCAGATTATTATTATTCAAAATGTGTGATTTTTACCCCAGACTAGTAAAAAAACAGACAATCAGTGTTGGCAAGGATTTGGAGAATTTGGAACCCAAATATGTTGCTGGTAGGAATGTAAAATGTAAAATGGGTGCAGCCACTTTGGAAAACAATTCCTCAAATGGTGAAACATTGAAAGCACATGTTCACACAAAAACCTGTACATAAATGTTCATAGCAGCACTATTCATAAGAGCCTAAAAACTGAAAATAACCCAAATGTTTGCCAACTGATAGATGTATAAACAAAACTTGGCATCTCCATACAATATTATTTGGCAATAAAAAGAATGAAGCACTGATACATACTAAAATATTGTCGAACTCGAAAACAGTATGCTAAGTGACAGAAACTGGTCAAGAAAGGCCAAATATGGTATGATTCCCATCACAGGAAATGTCCAGAACAGGCAAATCGATAGAGACAAAAAGTAGATTAGTAGTTGCCTGTGGAGCACAAGTGGGGTAAAATAAGCTAAAGGATACAGGGCTTCTTTTTAAAATTGATTGTGGTGATGCATACCCAACTCCGAATATACTAAAAACCACTATCTTATACACTTTAAATGGGCAAATTGTACTGTCTGTAAAGTATATCTTAATAAAGCTGTTATGAAAACCCCAACTTGGGGGCTGACATAATTTTGATAGAACTGACTTTCACACGTGGGAAATACAGGGCTCTGGAAACCCCCACGATCAATTCCTGAACAGTTGTCATTTTCCCTCTCTCTTGTTCTTAAGCAGGGAAATGGCAGAAAGAGGGAGTAACCTGGAATAGCATCCTGCTCCCCTTCCAGGGATAGTACTTACAACTGCTCCTCCAGCGGCCAGGGGATCAGCTTGACAATGCAGTGTCCTTGAGACCACGCGAACCAGGAGCCATCTGGGGAGAAGGCGACACTCCAGGTCTCACAGCTGGACTTCCAGTCAAACTGGTGGGGGCGCCCTGGCTTGAGCTCCGCCAGCAGCAGCGGTTCCTCTGGGATGGGAGACAGCATGCTTGGAACGAGCACCCTCACTCCCAACAACCCAGACACAGGAAACCCGCTGCCTCCCAGTGGCAAACGGCAACACTATGCATTCCCAGAGGGAGTTGGCATTTAAGCAACTTGGGGCAATATAGTAGCCACGAGCTAAATTCCACCGCAGTTACTCAGTCCTGGCACTCTCCACTGCTGGTTAAGCGTGACTCAGAGTAACCTTTGTGCTGGTGAACCCCGGTGGATGGAGGCCTCATCTTCCTAAGTATGCCTAAGAGGAAGAAAGTGAAGCCAGACCAGAAATATGCAGATCAGAGACCCAGGTCCAAAAATAGCAAGGTTTTTCAACGCCCAGAGCCCGCTGACCAGAAACAGGTAAAAGGAGGCATATGTGAACCTCAAAGTTTCCCTCATACTTGGCAACATCCTCCCCATTTTCAAGGCTAAGAATGCTCAGCTCTGTCCTGCTTCCTTGTGCTCAGACCTGCTGGCTACGTCTCTCCCATCTCTCCCGTTTCCTTCTTCTCTCTGTCCTGGTCTAAACCTTCATTTCCTCTTGCCCAGAGCTTTTGCTGGTCTCCTGATCAGCATCTCTGCCCCTAAAGACCCTGCTAAGGTGGAAACACACATCACTTCTTTCAGATACATTCCAAGGCCAGCCTGCCTGCACAATAAAAGTGACTGAGCCCGGGTCATCCAGCCCACGCCATCCGCCTCAGCCCATCAGTCCAGCCTCCGTTCCATGTCACCTCCCTCTATGTCACACTCTGGCCACACCAGTCTCTTTGACATGCCCGGAGTCGCTCATTCTAGTTCATACCTGGATGCATTTTCTGCTTGGGAGAATCCTCTCTAGATCCACAACTAAGACATACAACCTGCTCTCACACCATTAAAACAGTCGCACCCTATTTCTTTCATTTTCTTTTATTGTTACAAGCTTCCCCCGGCACTCCCTTAACCCTTGCTCCAACACCAAGATAACACAAGCTCCTCCCAGGGCCCACCTAGCACAGCATCCTGTTAAGAGTAGGCACTGGATCAGTGCTTATCCATCCACTGAAATGCAGTTCCTAGTTCAATGCTCTATTCAGATGGAAGATTCTCAATGGTTGACAAAGCTCCTAAAGGCCTTCAGAATGGATTCTGTGACCACTCTGATTGTGACACATACTAATACAAAAGCTGGCTTTCATCCTGAATGAAGTCACTTCCTGATGTGTGTGTTCCGCTTTGGCAGTTCTAGGCTTTGACGCTTTTATGGCTGTTAGATAGATGCTAATTTAAACAATCCATATTTCAAATATTTAAAGACACATCTCTATATGTCTTATATGGATATCTTATAATCAATTACTTTTCTCTTTTTTTTTTTTGAATCGGAGTCTCACTCTGTCGCCCAGGCTGGAGTGCAGTGGTACAGTCAAGGCCACCCCAGCTTCGACCTGCTGGGCTCCGGCGAATCTTCCGCCTCAGCCTTCCAAGTAGCTGGAACTACAGGTGCGCGCTACCACCCCCGGTTAATTTTTTGATTTATTGTAGAGATGAGGTCTCGCCAAGTTGCCCAGGCGGGTCTCAAACCCATGAGCTCAGGCAATCCACTCACCTCAGCCTCCCAAAGTGTGAGATTACAAGCTGAGCCACCGAGCCTGGCTAAATTTTACATATATATAAAATTTTCTGGTATATGCATTATAGGAAATACAAAGGTATATCTTGTTTTATAAAATAAGTGTGTTGCTGAAAATTCTGTCTTAAATAGAATTTTAATAAATCATCTCATGCCTTCGTGAAGGGTATATTCATTCTCAGGGGTTCTATGTGTAAATCTAGGTTTTAATATATTAGGTATGTCTAAACAGGTGTCTGCATAGACTCAGGTAATTCCTCCTAGAAATCTGTAGTGTATGTGAGATCTTTTCATTTACATGACCACAAATCTGCATGACCACGCTCCTATGGATGTGAACATTTGCATGGCAAGACGTCACTCTGTATTTAAAATCCAAAACAAACGTTTCCCAATGTTCTGCAGAATTCCCCAACATTTTCTTCAAACTCATTATTTCTAGATATCTTCCTGTGGTGACATAAGCCCTAACCTATTGATGTCTTCTTCGGGTAGCCCAGGAGCTCTCAACTGGGACAACTTTGCCCCCTGGGGGACATCTGGCAGTATCTGGGACATTTTGGTTGCCACAACTGGGAGTGGCACTACTGGCGTCCAGTGGGTAGAAGCCAGGGATGCTGTTCAACATCCAACAATGCACAAGACAGTCCCTACCACAAAGAAGGATCGGGCCCACGACAACACCAATGCTGAAGTTGAGAAACCCAGATGCAGTCACGTATTAAATGACACCGACTTATCTAGAGGCATTTTTCAGTGACCTCGATGAAAATGTCTTCAGTGACCTCGATGAAAATGTCATCCTGATAATATTCATACCTGGCTCACTTCCTTCACAACGGGCACATCCATCCATCCTCTTCTGACCCCATGGAGGCTCTAGACAATCTAAAAAGACTCGCCCTTGATTTCTCTCTTCTCTACCTTCCAACCCAAATCCATGAGCAAGTTCTATCAAGCCTGTTTCCAAAACACTAGCCAGATGTAACCTCCCTCCATCTCCATGGCTACCATTCTAATCGATGCAGCAGCATCTCTCACCTGGCCCACTAGGCAGCCTTCCAACTGCTCTCCTTGCTTCCGCTCTGGCACCCCACCATCCATTCTCCTCACCTCCCAGAGTGATCAGTTTCAATCACTTTTAAAGTAAAACCCAAGTTCCTCACCCTGCCCTGGAATGACCTGGCCCTGCCTGGGCTTGCACCTCCTCTCCCTGCCCCTGGCTCTGGCACACTGGCCTTTCCTCCACACTCTGACTATGCTCAGTTAGTTCCCACCTCAGGACTTTTGCACCAGCCATTGTCTTCACCTGGAATGTCTCTCCATGGCTGGCACCTTCTCTTCATTCAGGTCTGGCTCAACAGACAACTCCTTAGAGAGATCTTCTCTGACCCTCAGTCAACCTCTTTTATTTTTCTTACAGTACTTATCACCATTTGATTATTATCTGTCTCCCCCCTACTAGAATGTGAATTCCGGGGGATCAGGGACCTAATCTATTTATCCCCCGTGCTAGCAGAGTCCCTGGCGGAGAGCAGGCAGCCAGTAAATACTTGCTGAATAAATATCCATGGTATGCCCTCTTTACATATAAAGGAAATAAAGCCCCTTAAACCTTCCTGATGCTTATGCCAAACATTTCACATGTAATGCTTCTTAAACACGAGCCCTCCCCAGAACTCATACTCTATTTCTGTGATTTAGGGATTTAATCTCTTGCTATTTCAGGTTCAGGAATCCAAGAGCTAAAAGACGAATGAACCCAGTGACTCCTGTCTCTTGGAGTGTGGGCGAAAACTAAATTTGGCTACTGGGGGGGTCATAATTAGTGAAGAATCTAAAAACAAAACAAAAACAGAGCTGAGAGGACCCAGCTTCATCTGGGATTGTACGTGCAGTGGCCTTCTTGGTGAAAAAGCCTATAAATCTGATTTTCTTTTTTTTCCCCCATTTTTTTCAATTGACAAAAACTGTTTTTGTTTTTTGTTTTTTTTGAGTTGGAGTCTCACTCTATCACTCAGACTGGAGTGCAGTGGCCGCTCCTGGCCACCGCAGCCTCAACCTGCTGGGTTCCGGCGATCCTTCTACCTCAGCCGTCCGAGTAGCTGGAATTACAGGCGCGCGCTACCACGCCCGGCTAATTTTTTGATTTATTGTAGAGATGAGGTCTCGCCAAGTTGCCCAAGCGGGTCTCGAACCCGCAGGCTCGGGCAATCCACTCACCTCAGCCTCCCAAAGGTGCAGGATTACAGGCTGAGCCACTGAGCCCGGCTAAAACTGTTTTTTTTATTGCACAACCTGTTGTATATTTTTTGTCATTGCATTAAGATCTCACTCTGTTACCCAGGCTAGAGTGCAGCCGCACAATTATGGCTCGCCTCAGCCTCGATCTGAGCTCAGGTGATCCTCCTGCCTCAGCCTCCTGAGCAGCTGGGACTACAAGTACTCACCATCATACCCAGGTAGTTTTTAAAATTTTTTTGTAGGGACAAGGTCTCGCTATATTGCCCAGGATGGTCTCCAACTCCTGGGTTCAAGCAAGCCTCCTGCTTCAGTCTCCCAAAGCTGGGCATTATAGGCATGAACCACTGTGCCCAGCAGCATACGTGTTTGGATATAATGTATACACTATGGAATGGCTTAGTTGAACTCATTCCCAAATGCATTACCTCACATACTTATTTTTTGGCAGGTGAGAACACTTAAAATCTATTCTCCGTCATTTCCAAGTACACAATATACTATTAACTGCAGTCACTGTGCTGTCTCTTGCACTTATTCCTCCTGTTTAAATGAGGTTGTATCCTTTGACCAATACCTCCTCAACCCCGTCCCCCACCCTCAGAGTTTTCTAACTAAACAATGGGATGTGTTTCAACAATAAGGCTGAACAGAAAGACATTATGAGTCTCTCCTATGCAATACAGTACAGAGATGGGAGCGATGACCCTAGCCGCCAGGAAGCTCAGTGATTTTTCCGGCCTCAGGATCTTTGTATTAGCTGTTCTAGTGGTCTAGAAAGCTCTTTCCCTGATTGCTCCATCCTTCAGGGTTTGTCCTCAAGTCATCACCTGTTGTCACCTCCTCAGGTACCCTCCTGGCCTTACTAGCTAAAGTGACCCATTCACTTTCTGCTACCCATTTAATTTTAACCATCCCTCACAGACATTTTCCGGATTGCTTATCTTTTTTTGCTTTGTTTTTTGAGTAGGAGTCTCACTCTGTCGCCCAGGCTGAAGTGCAGTGGCACGATCACAGCCACTTCAACCTCAACTTGCTAGGCTCAGGTTATCCTTCCATCTCAGCCTTCCAAGTCGCTGGAAGTACAGACACGCGCCACCGTGCCTGGCTACTTTTTTTAGTTATTGTAGAAACGAGGTCTCTCACCAAATTGCCTGGCTGGTCTCAAACCCTGGGTTCACACAATCCTCTTGTCTCTGCCTCCCAAAGTGCTGGGATTATAGGCGTAAGCCACCATGCCCAGTGCTTATC